CGGGGAGGACGCGGGTGACCGGGGCGGGGTGGGGCCCCAAGAAACACGACCGGCCGCGAGGAACGATAAACTCCAGTGAAGGAAGGGGCCCCGCTGCGGAATTCGTGGATGAGAAGAAATGTAGAGACTCGTTGGAGATCATTGAAGGGTGTAGGAGTAGAAAAGTCATTTGGTAATCATTATCGGGAGTGGGGAGTGGATGAAATATGTGGATTGTGGTCGCTGCCAGAAAGCCAAAGCTGCGAAGGAAATATAAATGACAGGGATATTTTGCCCGACGATGTGGTGGGATATGGATGGAAGCAGTGCTTGCATAAAGGTTGCACGCTTGCTGTTTTGCCGTGAAATGCCAATCTCAGCGAGGCGCGAGGCGGAGGGCGGTGGCTTAGAGAGCAGATGGTGTGCGTGCCTTTCTGCGAGGGAGAGATATGGTCGAATCATGGTGGATGAGTCCTGTTTTGCACTGCTTGTAAAAAAAGGTGAGAGTGGCACATGGCGTATACACAAGGAGAGCGCATTGGAGGAAGAAGGCAATCGTGGTTTGTAGTTGCCCGTGGGGCCTTGTTAGCAGGTCAAAAAATCGGCGCCGAATTCATCAAGAAGCCAAATGGTCTTCGGTCCATTTCGGTAATTTTCAGAATGTATAAAACTATAATACTTCAGTACGAAAAAAGAAATTGTGCTTTTTATCTGGAAGCTCTCACCATTTAATCAGAAAGAAATATGCATTACTTTTATGTAGTTCATATACTTTGCTTACTTTGCTACTTTGAGTATATCATAAAAAGTGCACTATGATGGGCTGTAATCAAAGAGCTTAACATCTTGAATTCGGGCTGTGCGCGATGAGGGTTCGAGTCACCATCTCTGCGGACAATGACAAACGATAAATCAAAGATATGGTACAACTTTAGCTGGAAATCAGATATGAGAATTGTGGTTACCGTGTGTTGCAAAAATGCGGGCGATTTCTAATGGAAGGAACAAGTAACCTTAGATTGATTATCGAGTAGTCTACGGCGAGCGTATTAAATGAAGGTAAATGACAGGCGGGGCTGCGTGGGAGTGTTTCTTGAGTCATGGTATCGCGGTGTGAAGTGAACAGATTGGGAGTGAGGTAGGGAGTAGGGCGGGGAACCACGCCTTGCGCTCAACTACCCGTCTTGAACCCCATGCTTCGGCAAAGTGAGGAAGAGTGAGGCAGGGCAACGGACGCCACGACAAGCGACAAGGTTGGGAACGTGGCTCGGAGGAAAGGGAAGCAGGGGCAAATTGAAAGGAGCGGGGATTGCGCACCCGCCCTACCGTCCCGCCACGCGTCACTTCAACGCCCTGCCTGGCCCCCCTGCCGGGCCGTCTCCACCACCCACCACCTGACCGCCCAGCCCCGCCCTCCTGCCCTGCCGCAGAGCGCTCCCGCGGACGCAAGCGGCCGTCGCTGGGCAAGGCGCCCCGGGCGACGGCGCGTGGGCCGCTCAAAGCCGTCCGCTGCGGTGGACTGTGCGCAGCCGCCGCCGCCGCCGAGCTGTGTTTTCTCGCGGCTGCTCGCTCTTGTTTCTAAAGCTTTTGAACTGCGCTTTCGGTTGCTGAGGAATGAGGATTATTAATGAGGTCGGGTTGCGCATCGCCGGACGTGAAGCTGATCACCTCGCTCCACTGGGTCTTCCTTTGATCAAGAAAGCGCCGCCAGGGCTGCGAGTACTGTGGAAATCTGCCTATGGGTACGTGCCACCGAAGAAGACGGAAGTCAAATCTTATGCAGCTGGCATGGGAGGAAACTGTGCTCTTACCTCGCCATCGCAAGATAGCTTACAGGTTTACAAAAAATAATATAATTTGAATTGATTTATTATTTTTGCTTTTTATGTATTAGTATTTTATTGTTTTATTTTAATCACGTTTATCAATTGACATTTTCAGTTTCTGCTTTTAGAGCTAAACTTGCAGCATTAAAAAAGACTACGAACTTAAAATTCAGTTTCTACAACTTCAACGCCACGTTAATGCTTCATTACCTGTGGTAATTTTGCAAGAGAACAATAAATTATGTTTTCCTTCTTCGTAGTACTGAAACGTTGTTGGTCGTCGTGTGCTTTTCTAGATTGTGTAATGCAGTCTACGGCAACTTCATTGAGAATTGAATTAAAGCGCAGGAAAAGCAACTTGAAACTCCGCAAGTAAACTGCGTAGTGAACTCACTATTGCTCACGTACTTCAAACTGATCCACTTTCGTAAAACATCCGTTAAACTTCATGGGTTACAATTCGTTCCCGGTTGCACCGAAGTTTACGTAAACGTAGCCAGAACTTCACAAGCACGATTAATCCGCTTGGTAGAGGAGTGTCATATAAAAACATTCGTCTATAAGTGAAAACCCTGTGATCAAATCAAGGATAAGCATGCTTAGAAGCATTATTTCGAGAATCGAAATGTTGCTTTTAATATTTGTTGTTGATTCTTTTGTACACTAAGGAATACTATTAGTCTTCATTAACATTATAACATTACTAATCATGCCTATAGGACATAACCAATAAATGGAATTACATTTTAATGTTGAGAATAAAGTCACAACTATCTTTTTATTTCGACCAACTGGGTCATTGTAGAATTTGTTTTCCCAGAATACCAGCAGAGAGGCAAGTATGCTCTCAGAGAGGAAAGGAATAATGGACTTTGGAGAGTATCGTGGAGTAGTTAGGATCCTGAAAACAAACCGTGCAGACACTCCACTAAACGTTCGATCGGCAAGGTCCTCGAGGCCTTGGAAGCCCCTAGTCCTCGAAGAAGCCACCTGGGGCTGTTGGTCCGGAAATTATTTCCCAGCGTCCGCGATCGTGCCCCGGGAGACTGGAGTGCCCTACTCCAGCACTTCGATTGGACGGAAGGGGTCGGGGCGCGCGCTCGCGCGTGCGGAGGCATGTACATGCAGTATTCTCGCGTACGTGGAAGTTGTCACAGCCCACTGGACCCGTGAGGAGCAGGTGGCGCTCTGGGCCGTGTGGGCGTGGGAGGCTCGCTCTCCCCTCTTCGTTCCCCGCCACGGTTGATGTCCGCCTCCGCTCGCTTCGTCCCGTCGCTCCTCGTCCTTTCCCTCGCCCTACCCCCGCGCCCGCTGAGGCAATAAGTTCCGCAAACACCTACGTCTCTGTTCCCCAGAGAGGCGAGACTGAAGCC